TTTCAGAATTCATGAACTTACAAAATATGCCTATCACACATCCTTTCTTAGAAATTTATCTTTGGATGTGCTGTAGCAAAGGAATAAACTCGTGATTATAGACAGTGAATTTAATTCAAAAAAGCAGAAAAGAGAAGTCTCAGGAAGAGAACAGTGCATCGATTTAGAAAGTGGCCTTTCTAAAAGCAACAATTAGAGTACTCAAGGAGAGAGGTGTTTAAATGAAGGAGAGGGTTTGGTGAATTACACATCATGATTGAAACTCTGGGGGGGAAAATGAGGAATAAAATTAAGGCAGTAATGATAAACCAAACTGGGACTGTAAAAAGCAATTAGTAACAGTGCAGCAGTAAGCAACTTTTGAGTACTCAGAAATTTAAAACTATCTTGATTTTTAACTTTTAGATCAATCTATAGTCAAAGCAAAAAAAAATACTTTAATAGAGTTATAAGTTTAAGACTGAGAGTCTAACTGTAAAAGTACAGATGAAAGAACATGGAAGATCAAAGGGCAGGAGGTTGTATGAAAAGCTGAAAGTACAATAATATTCTCAATGTACAAACTGGGTGTTGAATTACTGTTTATAATTAAAAGATCAGGGATGATTCTGTGAATATATTACTTAAATGTAAAAGGTGCAAAGGTAAGGTAAAGAAGAAGAATTTTAAAAGTATGTTATTTATTAACCATGAAGTGAATAAAGCCACATCATTAGATATAGAAAAAATGTTTTAGAGATTTAGGTGAAGAAAAGTAGATTATAAAATTCTGGTTTTGTCATCTAGTTAAATTGGTTTTGTTTTTAAAGATTTATTTATTTATGCATACAAGAGCTGGGGGTATAGGCCAGAGATTCAGGAGGGTGAAAGGATTTACCAGAGACAGAGTGGGGAACAGAACAGGCAGGTCTACTGAAACAAACTGCTGAAGGGAGCAGCAGGTGAGATAAGAGAGATCTGCTGCGTCATGTGGGTCACCTCCTTGGCCAGGATTGCAGTGGCTGCTAATAGTTTCATAGTCCTGAGACTCAACCCCTTGGGCCACCAGGGAGTCCCCATCTAGATAATTTGGATAATAAATTTATAGGTGATTTTTCTGTACTTCAATACATATTCTATAATTCAATTATTCAGAAGGTTTATTGGGTACCTACTATGTTGTAGCACTGTGCTAGGCACTGGGATAATAAATATAGCAGTTTATAAAGACAAAGTTTCTGTCATATTGTTTATAATCCAGCAAGGAAGATACATATTATACTGGTAACCATTATGTAAAATGAAAAGTTTATGATAGAAGGGACTTATGATGTTGGGAGAACATAAGGAATAGGCCCTAAATCTAATCTAGGAATCTGGGAAAGATTCTTCTACCAACAACTTAAGTTTTAAATAAGAGGTTTTTTTAAAGTGCATATTTGCAATTAGGAACACAGTGTTATCCCAATTATGTAAAATGAACTATGAAAAAAAACTCTCTAGAGAAACAAAATATTAATAGGAATTATCTTTAAATTCTGGAATCTGAAGAATTTTTATATATTTCTCATTTTCCCAAGTTTTATAGAAGGAGGATAAATGGCTTTGATAATCAGAAAAGATTAATAAAATTACTCTTACTGGTGAAGTAGCTTTATATTTGTGTTATTAGAAGTCCTTTCCCTCATATACTATAGAAATAGAAGGTAATTACTAATCTATCTGAAGCAGTTACAAATACCAAACTACTTGTTCACCCCAGACATTTTTAAAGGCTATTGGAGTTCATAGGTTTGTTTCAACAAATGTTCCAGTTAGCAAACTTGGAGACTATCTTTGCTGTGAATTTAGCTAATAGAAGCACCTGAAGATACAAAAGCACAAGAAGATATAGGTGATGAGACTAAACCCAGCAGTTATACAGCTGTGCTATATCTATTTTAACTTAACTATACCCTGTATATTGTGATTGTAAATATGGCTTTAAACATGAAGTAGCCCCTAATCTCTTGTTTTTGTGCCCATGTTTCTTTGATTGTAGTTCTGGGTCGTAAAAGAGTTTAAATTGACTCTTCAATAAAAGTTATTCCTGTATATAAGATCAAATCTGTGAGTGGTGATTTTTATGGATTTGTCTATTTAGTTTACTACAAATATACATAGTACATTGCTCTTCTTATTATATAGTAATATCATTATTTTGAGATCCCCATCACTTTATATATATTTATCAAAAAAATATCTAATTTCCCCAAGGTAGCCTAAAGTGAAAAGCATATTAATATATCTTAAATTGACAATGCATTTTACAGCCTTATGTTGTAGTTACAAGAGCCAGTCAAAAAGTAAGTTGAAGTGTATGCACTCAGATACTTAAAATAAGCATGCACAGAAAACCTGTGTGTTTTCATGCCTTAGGAAATTTACCATTATAAGGAACAAAGAAAAGGCACCTAAGTAGTGACAGTGAATATATTGATTTAGCTAATGAATCTTCTCAATTCAACAACTTATTTGTGTGTCTGATAGAAAAGGAAGTTCAAAATTATATAAAGAAGTAATATAGGCTGATAGTCAAAAGAACTAGGTTCTAATTCTTACTTTATCACTAACTAAATGAGTGACTTTAGATCAGACACTTAAACTCTCTGGTTCTCATTTGAACCAAATGATAATTTCTAATATGAACATTCAGTGATTTGGTGAGATCTAACTTTTGGATCAATTGCAGTAAGTAGGGACTTCTCTGCACAGTTCTTCCTTGCCTGGAATCCAGGCTTTGTTCCTCACCCCTAATCAAAGCCATTTGTCCTCTAGTAATTACCTACTCCAGGAAAGTCTTAAAGCTGGAATTCAGCAGTGCTGAGGGAAATATATAAAACAACATTCTCCAACATCCCTAAAGGGATTAGTGAGAGCCCACAACATGTTACAGAGGAATCTCCCAGGCCTGCTCAGGTAAACTCATACTTTTATGCTTTCCCTAATTCTGTATCCATTTACCTGAGCTTCCTCCTGCAAATCTGCTTCCATATACAGATTGACACCTAAATTAAAATCTGCCATTGAAGACAGGAACGGAGTCATAAAGAAAAGTAAGCAAAAAAAGTAGAGAACCATTCCAACAAAAAAGAAAAAAAGCCCACAATACAAAACTAAAGCTCTGTATGCCCCCATTAACATAAAACACAATTTTCCTGAGGAGCTCAATTAATTTTCCATAATCATGATCTTTTATTAACAACACACATCTTCCCAGAAGACATTTCTTTTTCTATTCTCTTATGTTAAAATCACATTCTGTTGTGAAATAATACAAATATGGGCTGACCTTCCTGGAGATTGCCAGAATTTCTCTTTCTACCGTCACTTTGTTTCTAAGAGCAGTTGATTAATATAGACTCACAATAGGATTTGAGGATGCAAGGGATTGGAGCACACACTATGAAGCTAGACACAGCTACTGCAACATGACACAAATTCAGTCCCCAGCTAGAGAGATGACCCACATGGTGGTGACAGGCCTCTCCTGTTCTACCTACTGCTCCCCTCAGCAGTGTATTTCAGTCAACCCGCCTGTTCTGCTCCCCACCTCTGTCTCTGGTGAATCCTCTCATCCTCCCACATATCTCTGGCCTGTTCTGGTATGCATCAATAAATAATCTTTTTAAATTAAAAAAAAATAGGATTTGAAATAGGCAATGTAGGATTTGAAGTGTAGCAATGAAATAGCTACAGAGGAAGCATCAGGGATAACCAGGAATGAGAAAAAGGAAGTTTCTGGTAACAATTCTCATGGTTATCTAGAAATTTAATTGAATATCAGACATCAGAATTTGGAATTGGATCTAGAATTGCGGAATTAAAGATAACTGCCTCCCACCTATATTACAGTGTCAACTTAACTTGTAATTTGTGTGTATGCAATCTGTGTGGCATTCTATTCTGTGGTAGTACCAGAGAGCATTTATTTATTTATCATATTTCTGGGGTGCACAATTAAATTTGGAAAAAGAAGTGATTAGGGAAAAAAAAGAACCTGTGTGCCCTAGATATGCTTATTGTCATGAATATTGATTGCATTTGGAAGTAAAATGAATGGTGTTTACCTTTTTATAGGCTTCATATTTATCAATTAAAATGTGTAACTGATTACTTTTACCTATTATTGGGCAATTTAATCCCTTTCCAGTAAAGGATAGGAAATTAGAATGAATGTTCCTTTCACTGCTTTTGCATTATATAGACTAAATAAATTGATTAACTAATATACCTCTTATTGGTTCTTTGTCTCTCTAATTTGGGGACAGTAAAGTCCCCAGTTAATGTCAGATTCTGAGAGACAAAGGAGGAGATGGGAAGTTCTGGAACAATTTAAAATCTTTGCCACCTTCCTGAGAGACTCTGGTTTGTGCCCCTATAACTTTTGCCATCATTAAAAAAAAAAAAAAAAAACTTGAGCCACATTTCAGGATACTTACTGGTCTGGCCTCTATAGACTTCTGTTTCATTTATTCTTGGAGGGGAAAGCACATAGAAAGTTAAAAAACTGGATTCCATTCCCTTGTTTTTCATTTGTGTCTGGACAGAAAGGTGATGGGACACTATTTCCCTAGCAAAGGGATGTTTTCACATATTGGTGACAACTGATCAAAGAAGTTAAGAGGGAGAAGGAAGAGAACAATCCAGATCTACCTCCTATAGCTGGTTGTTGCTTTTGTCATAGGCCTCTGCATTGATAGCCCTCCCCCATCTCACATTTTCCCCTTCCTCTCTCCTCACATCTGCTGTCTCTTTTCTGACCCCCCACTTCTTCCCCCCAGCTTGGCTTTTCATAGTAAGAGGTCAATATGTGTTCACACTCGGGAAATCTCATTGAAGAATTTTTGTCAATGGACAAGTCATAAGAAGCCCTTCCATTTTAGGACTTGTTGACGTCACCAAGAAGGCGATAAATATCTGTTGATATAATTGGATGTGAGATTCAGTGTTGAGATAGCAAACTCTGCCCCTCGCTCCCTGGCAGGGCCCTATGATTTATGCAGGAGCAGAGGCAGCACGCAATCGAGCTGTCAAGAGAGCGTCAGCTTATTAGGCAAATGCTGCGTGGTTTCTGAAGAGGGTCGACCCTATAAAATCCCACTCCGGGTTCTGGTGTGGAGAAACTCAGAGCCCAAGTCCGTTGATAAATTGAAGAGAAAGAAAAGAGGGGAAGAAAAAGAGAGTAGAAGCAGAAAAGAGAAGGGAAGAAAACCCCTGAAAAAACCCCGGGGACGTTCCTCTGCAGAGAGGCAGAAGTGCCCGCTCACCTGCAGAAGCGCCTCAGAAGGTAGGGAGCGCCTAGACGGAAACATGCCTCCAACTTTGCACTGCTGAGCTGCCCCGGAGCCGGCTGTTCTTGTGCGGCGGTGTGTGTGTGTGTGTGTGTGTGTGTGTGTGTGTGTGTGTGTGTGTGTGTGTGTATTAAGATTCCGATAGTAACTGGGGTGTAACAGAAGTAAACCTAGACGGCTGCTCATTGTTATCTGAACTGCCAGTGCCAGTTACTCCTTGCCAGTTGAGTATATGAGCCCCCACCCAAATAGTCCCCAACGTCCGGAACCCGGGAGAAGAATGCAAGGTAGGGATGGAGATGGAGGTGGCGAGAGCAGCTCTCAGTTTAGACGAAATTGCTGAAATATCGGGAAAGGGGCAGTTAAATAGCAACCGAAATCTTAAATTTATAATTCTTTTCTAGAGCTCAGGGAATCAGTTTAAGAAATCATTACCAAAGAGACTCAGGGACCGTCCCTTCGAGCGTCTCGGAGAGAAAAGGTCCCTCCAGCCTGGCAAGGGAGATAGCTTTGACGCCGAACCTACAGGAGCCCCTTTGCCGGCTCTCCTCTCTCTTCAACTCTAAAAGTAGGAGTACAGGGATTTCAGCACCGCGGACAGCGACCGCCCCACCTCGGAGACACGTCCTTGTCCCTTAGGTAGACCCCCATACTACATCTCCCTGTTAAGCTAAATAAATTCTCACCAATTCTTTCTTTCTCTCCCGTTTCGTTCCGCCCTCTGTTCACCTCTGTGCTGCAGCTAGCGCCCCTAACATGCGCTTGCCGCTGCTCGTGTCCGCGGGTGTCCTGCTGGTGGCTCTCCTGTCCTGCCCGCCATGCAGGGCCCTCCTCAACAGGGGTCCCGTCCAGGGAGCCCGACAGGCCCCACAGCCCCTGGATTTCTTCCAGTCGCCGCCGCAGCCCCAGCAAACCCAGCAGCCGCAAGCTCGTCCCGTCCTGCTCCGCATGGGCGAGGAATACTTCCTTCGCCTGGGTAACCTGAACAAGAGCCCTGCTGCTCCCTTCTCGCCGGTCTCTTCGCCTCTTGCCAGCGGCAGTGGTAGCGGCAGCCGCCTCTCTAACGACGAGGCTGCTGCCAACTTTTTCCGCGCTTTGCTGCAACAGCAGCTGCTGCTGCCTCGGCGCCCGCTCGACAGCCCAACTGGTCCCACGGTGCGCGGAGCCGAGAACGCCCTCGGCGGCCGCCAGGAGGCACAGGAGAGGGAGAGGCGATCGGAGGAGCCTCCCATTTCGCTGGATCTCACCTTCCACCTCCTGAGAGAGGTCTTGGAAATGGCTAGGGCGGAGCAGTTAGCTCAGCAAGCTCACAGCAACAGAAAACTGATGGAGATTATTGGGAAATGAAACGGTTGGTTTGGCCAAAAAGATTCTGTATTTAGCACACACACACAAATAAAAAAATAATACAGCATTCTGTACCATAGCGTGCGCTGATACCATTTGTTTATTTTTATATAGCTTGACGCGTAGAGGATGTACAGCAAGAGAAACTATACTCCTTAACTAGCATGACCATAGTGTATTCTCGTGCAGTAAAACAACAAAATGTTATTTGCTACTGTTTACATTTAGTTTCCATCTCCAGTTGTCTTTATTGGTGTTTGCAAGAGAGTATGGAACGTTTTGAAGAAACAGACGGAAATCATACAATGATTTTGTTGTGGTCTGAGCCAAAGAAAATGTCTTTCTCTTGGGTGGGCAAGACAAAAATCTGTAAGCTCTTTAAATCAACTTTTTCTTGTAAACCTTTCAGTAATAAAACATCTTTCCAAACCTTGGTCAATTTGGTTGTGCAAGATAATGTTGAATATTTATATTTTTAATAAAAGCTACAAAGTTAATTATGACTTTATTTTCCTCATCAATGGTAGTAGGGGAAACACTTGATTCTTCCTGACTCCATTAGACAAAACTCCTTGCATTTTATTTTCTATTAATAATACAAACGTGTCACTGACTTACACAGTCCTGCAATAGCCAGGGGCTTGCCTCTGTGCTTCAGATTATTCTGAGGGTGAGTGAAATAATTTGAAAATAGTTGCTTCTAGCTGTAAGATCATAATTCTACAAATGAAAGATTGATTCACCTTGGAAATATCATTTAACTCTATAAGATATGAAATAATAGGGAAGACTAGAGGAGGAGAGGAAAAGAGAAGCTTTAGGCAGGGCATTCCTTTAATCATACAAGGCCAAAAGGCTGAATTTTTTTTTTTCCTATGAGAAAGGACTGCTTTATCAAGTCACTACTTTGGTACCATAAAATATTTTTTCTAAATTACTTTCCAGTGCCTACTTTTAAAAGGAGAAGTGGAATAGCATCTCTACTTTAAACAACCAAGTTTAGTTGCTATAAAATGGCAGGTGGGAAAGAATTTCTCATAAAGTATAATTTGACTTCAATAACTTCACAAATACCCTGCTCATTTCTATGTATGCTAACATTAGTAATTTTAATTCTTTTTTTTTTAAAGATTTATTTATTTATTTGTGCATACAGAACTGGGGTACAGGCCAGAGGCTCAGGGGCGGTGAGAGGCTTCACCAAAGACAGAGTGGGGAGCAGAACAGGCAGATCTACGAAGTACACTGCTGAGGGAAGCAGCGGGCGGGCCAGGAGAGGTCTGGCTCGCCATATGGTCTCCTCCGGGGCAGGCGGCAGGCGGGAATCGAACTCATGCGGAAGTGGCTTCAGATTCTCAGTGCTGTGCTTTAACCCACTGCGCCACCAGGGAGGGCCCTCTTTTTTAAAATTTTAATTCTTAAGACTATAAATTATCTCTATTCACTTCTAAAAAAAAGACATGTAATTTGTTTTATAATGCGTTTGCCTTTGGTAGTTTAGTTAGAACTTAAACATTTCAATCAAATATTTAACTATTCTGGGACCCTTTAAATACACTTGACTAACTAAATAATAATATAATATGAAAATGCTGAATAAATTATTATAAGACTGAATTCTTAAAAACAGTCTTTATTTAAGAGTTCATATAGAAAAAAGTTATACTTATGTTCTGAAGAAGATATTTTGGTGGGACAAACCACTATTTAAATATGTATCTATATTAAATATGTGTGTGTGTGTGTGTGTGTGTGTGTATTTGAATACATGGAATTGTCCTTACCAAGTTGGTACCTCAGTATACACAATGAGAAAGTAGATAGTTCCTGTTGTATAATATTTTCAATGGAAGTGACAGATATTTGCATACTAAAACTAGGATTAGAAAAAATGGTAGAAAAATGTCCTAGACCTGCAGTTTTCTGGACTATAAAAATGTCACCAGAGTCAAACATTTCTAGTACACTTTCAGCAACATCTATTATTGAAAGGGAAAACCATTATGGAACATTTCATACCTTTGGTCAATGATTTACGTTTAATACCATATTAAGAAATTAGTCACTTCTGAATAAACACTGAATTTCACTGACTATCTACACTGCTAAGAAAGAAAATAAAAACTACTATGATAGAATAATAATAAAAACCTGCACCTATCTGAGATGATAGTGTAGAGCCCACTTTTTTTCAACACTTGCCACTTGTCGCTGACACACATACCACACCTACACACCCTACCTAATATTTTCCACATGATAAAAGATGTGATCAAGTTTCTTTGTTTCAATGCTCTTTGCAACTATTTCTCTAGCTATTATTTTCCCTCTATGTGTTAGATAAATCATCTGGAATTAGAAGTTTCTTTGTCTGCTTTGAATAAATCCTGTTCAGCGGTCCCTTTTATCATCTGTATCATGTTGATTTTATTTAGACTCCCTGCTGCCTGTGTACATTTCAATCAGGCAGACAGAGGGGCAACAGTTGGAATGAATATCATTCATTTGGGGAGTTCAACCAGGAAAAGGAGAAGACATGGCGAGCTGGCTCTGAATCATCTCCATTCCCACTCCCTGAAGCTGCAGCCTGTCCCTGGATGGAAGGGTCCTCAAATCCAATCTGCAACAGAAGAAAATAGATATCAGAAAAAGAACAGACTTTTTCTTTGTGGCTAGGCTCAGTCACTTTTCTACAGAGAAGAAAGGATAATAATAGTTATTATTCTATAGGACATAATTAATAGTAGGGCCAGAAAGCAAACTCAAGTTATCTTGCCTGTGGCTAAGAGCCATAATAGTAATTCATAATCATGATCCAAAATGGGGACTAGTAATGCATGTGGTGGAGGTTCTTGGGAAAGGGTCCTGGATATTCTAATTTTTTAAGTCTACTTGTACATGATTTACTAAGATGAAAATTTCATTGACAACATGAATTTGGGTTTAGAAAAGTCAAATTTGGATTTAGAAAAGCCTGCAGAATAAGCTCTTAATTTAAGTAACACTTCTCCATTCATGCTATATAATTTCTTTACCACTAGAATAAGAATTTCCATCAGGATATATATATATATATACACACATATATATTTGTGTGTGTGTGCATATATACACATACACCTATATGTGTATATACATACATACATACATATATATATATATATATATATATATATTTGCAAAACTGCTGACTTAATTTTGAGCAAATCATGACTGAGGCTTTTTCTCTAAGCAATGAGGTCTAATAAACATCAACACATCTCTCCAAAGAAATATCTATCCTTCACATGGCTATCACTGTAAATTATATTTATTAATAATTGACAGATATAAGTCAATTATTTGAATCAAGTAAATAATGTATCAATATATTTACTTATATCAAGTAAATATGAGTCAATTATTTGAATCAAGTAAATAACATAATCTTATAAGTAAAATTTATATTGTCTTGAATTAAAATATAATGTTTAATGGATTGAGGGAGAATCATAAAGAAGCCTTGCTGAAACGAACTGACATATAAACTCAGACTCCTTACATTTAAAGGACCATGATAAACACAGTTCTTCCTAGAACAACCAAGAGGAAATAACATATTCTGATGACTTTTCTGATAAAATCATCCCACCAGATTAGACTATTGTTGACTTCAAAGCAATGAGGTAGGCACATGCATTCAACTAAGAAGCCTCAGCTGATACTAAGAAGCTGCTATATGGAAGGACAATTCTAGTACAGGCAAAGCAGAACTTTGTTAAGTATGTTGTTTTGTTGCTGCTCAAAACACTGTTCCTCCAAAATGAGTGCCTGTCCTATGCCAAATTTTATCCTAAATATGTGGGAATTATGTTCCAAGTGCTCAAATACTTGTGGTTTTGAACTTATTCTGCCCTTTGCCATGTTGTTTCCTGATAAAAATCTAAAAAAGACCATGAAATCATATTTAATTACAGTAAAATAAAACTGAAATGTGATGTTTTCTATGAAGGAACAGTTGAAATATCATGTAGCAAAATTGTACCTTTTTGGAAAGATTTAGTTTTACTTATGCATACAAGAACAGTGTACAGGCCAGAGTTGCAGGGGTGAGAGTATTCACCAGAGACAAGACAGAAAGGGGAGCAGCAGGCAGGTCAGCAGAGATCTTCCACGCATGTGGGTCACCTCCCTGGCCAGGGATTGAAGTCGCACTGCGGTGGCTGCAGATAACTCCACAGTGCTCTGCTTTAACCTATAGCACCTTCAGGGAAGGCCCAAACTGAGCATTCTGTAAAGATTGCTATTAGATTCTATTGGTAATGGGTGAGCTACCCCAATGTTCTTGAAGATAAGATCGAAAAATATCCTGACAGAATTCTTTTTCTATCGGTACAAAACAAACTCTTTTCTTACCCACCATGATCATTTCACTCTCAAGAATCCTAAAACAAAAATCAAAAAACAAAAGCCAAGTTACCCTAGCTTATCTTTGATAGGTAAAAACTTTTTCTTTTTTTACAAAAATGAAGTAATGTTGGCTGATGTTGTTTTACTTTGGAAGTAGAGGGTCCCCTCCCTACTGGTTATGTTACTACAGTGCTACCACTACCAAAGCACCCACATTCTCACCTTCCTAGGCCACTGTGCTCCCTCCCCACTTTGTGCTCACCCTCTTCTTCTCCCCTTCTGAATGCCTCAGTTCTAGTCTCCTTTCAAGGGCTAACTTTTAAGCTTGGCTGTAAGAGTTTTTTTAAATCATTCTATAAGAGTGAATTCTTACTGGATGAACAAACCCTCAGGCTCTGTAGCTTGTTTTCCTCGAAGGTAATTTCTAATTTGGAAGAAATTTCCATGAAAGCTGTTCTGAAATAGCTAAAGGGTGAAACTAGTTGAGTAAGGTGTTTTCTGTAAAAAATACAATCTTTGTGACTCTGCTGGTATCTAACAAACCATTGGGGACTACATTTAGAACAAGTGTATATTATTGTGCTTTTCTGTACTTGAGATTAAAAATCTACTATTTAAAATGCTTCAGTTGTTAGGATTACACAGTCTTCAAAACTTGGTATTATATAGTTTGTTTGTTTCTTTACATAACCCTTTTTCTAGGCAACTATCAGAATTTCCTCCAAACAATCCTTCAGAGAAGAAAGGTCAGTTCCACTAGGTACAAAGAGCAGATATTGTCCTTTATATCTTTATGTAACATACACCATCTCCTTGATCATGTTTTTGCAAACTTTAGAAATCACCAATTATCTTAGCAAGGAAGTTCTGTGCAAAGAGGCTTAGCCTGGTTTTGAACCCAGACTGTTTATTAACTGACTTGGGTAAATCACATAACCTTTCTGAATAGTGGTTCTCTTTCTTGTCAAAAGGAGGTTGTTGTAAGGACTGACACTTTGTCCAGTACTTTATAATAACCTGTCTTCCTTCTTGCCTCTCTCCCTCCACCCTCCCTCCTTTCTTTCCTTTCTTCTATCTTATATTAGTGAAGATGTTTTTCTTAATGCAGAATCACATGAAAACTGTTATGAGGAACTACATACAATAGCAATGACCTTCAGATAGAAATATTGCATGTGCAGTGTTCATCTTCCCAGAACTGAGCTGCTGATTATCATGACCCTTTCCAGTATACCTCCTACTTCATTTGTGGTTCCTCACAAAGGAAGAATGAGTTAAAAAAAAAAAAGTTAGAAACCACCTTTCAATAAGCACAGCCCATTAAATCATAAGCAGATATTTTTCTTATAGCCTTCCCTAAATGGAACTGTATATATGCATTCTTTAAATAGTTTTCCAAATGCTGGCTGCCCTTAGAGAAGTGCTGAACAAAAGATAGAATAATAAGCACTGCCTTCTTGCATTTGCTTTTGAATTTATCTTATATTCCAGTTTAGTTGGTGGTATATTTAAAAAAATGTGAAAAAAAAGATTTTTTTTTTTTAACTTAAGCAGCAGACTTATTTCTCACAATTCTGCTGGCTAGGATGTCCATGAAAAAAAAATGGAAAGATTTTTAGTCTAATATTATTTCTAAACTTCATATATTTTCCTAAGGAGTTGAAATAATCTAACACTTAACATTGTGCTCTATCATGATAGGACTTAAAACAATTTGAGAAATAAAAGATTTTGTCATAAAACAAAGCTAGAAAGTGGAATAGAAAAATCTCCTCTTTGTCTTAACTGTGAGACCCAATTCAGTTAAGACCCACAAGGACCAAAGAATGATATACTTTTGCTTGGAGGAAGGACTTTTTCTCCAAGATGAATTTGACAATTTGGTATTCAAGCAACAGGCTCACTTGGGAACACCAAATCTTTTGTTTTGATTTCTGTCCGTTTGCTATAAATTTTTGCACAAAATTTCTTTTGCGAGGTGAGGAGAAATCAGATTATAAAACTCGATAGTGTTTCATTCTACATAAGAGAAAGGTGATATGTGGCCCTTCCACCCAAAGCTGTGTGAAGTGCAGACACATCCGTGACAGGTAACAGTATCCAGAATCATTTCTTGTTGGTGGGGGCTGAGAAGCATGCATTCTGCTCAAGGGTTATGGCCTTGGTTCTGGTTGCTCTCAGGACAGCTCCAATATGGACAGTCTTGGTTGACTTAAACTTTGAAGCTACATGGTATTTTGGAAAAAAAATATCTTGAATTAGCTGCACATATTAAAATATCAAGAGCAAGAATGTAAAAAATATTAACTTGTCCATTGTTGGTGACAATATAAAATGTGCAACTGATGAGGAGAACATGTGGAGATTCTTCAAAAAATTAAAGACAAGATGACCATATGATTCAGCAATTCAGCTCTTGGATATATATCAAAAGTATTGAGAGCAGAGATTCACAAAGGAAGTTGTACACCCATGTTGATGGCAGCACTGGCTGAATAACCAAGAAGCAGAAACAACCTGTGTGCCCAATAATGGGTGAATGGAGAAACAATATGTCGCATGTACATATAATAGAATATATTCAACCCAGGAAGAAAATTCTGAGACATGCTACAACCTTGGTGAATCTTGGGCTAGTTGGCATAGCTTGTCACTAAAAAACAAAGACTTGTAGACTTGTAGGAGGTATCTACAGTATTCAAATTCATAAGAACAGAAAATGGAATGGTAGTTTTCAGACACAGGGTGGGAGTAGGAGGAGAGGAGAATGGGAAGTGCAGGGTTTCAGTTTTACAAGGTGAAAAATTCTGGAGATCGCACAAAATAGTGAATACAGTTAATACTACTAAACTACTTAGAAATGGTTAGGATGGTAAATTTTATGTTAAAAATGTCATGTATTTTTTATACCGGATGATTTTGCTCATAGCAGGAGTATAATGGAGCAGACGAAAAAATAATAATAATGAACAACCATATACCAGAGACATATTGTGGGGGTGGAGTGGGGAATGGGATCAAAAACGGGGGTGGGATGGAGGGAAGTGCACAGGACTATGGTGATGGCACATGGGTAACTTGGTGATGGGAAACCCCTGGGGATTACCATTGAGATGAAAAAAAAATGTACAAAATGATGTAAAAATAAACTATTATATCATATTAAAAATACCATGTATTTTTTAACCACAATTAAAAATTTAATTAGCAGACTTCACACTAAAATCTGAA